AGTCTTGTAAAGAAATCTACAAAGCAGAAGTGGAAATGGCTCTACACCTGGACTCCACCAGAACTACATTGTAAAATTCACTTGTCCACATCCCTCTGCTTTAACAAATCTGGAGCAACCCTTCCCTCCTCCATGTGTTTTCATGATGTCCATGCTCTTTACATCCCTAATCATCTCATGACTCATGCCTAGTCTCCTTTAGCTTTCAGCGAAGCCCTCCAAGACCGTAAGTGTCAAAAGGGCATCAAGCGAGGAGAGGTTCCAGATTCTGGAATCATTCCTCAGTTAGAACTGTGCTCTGGAGAGATGGTGGCAAGAGAATCAAGGGAACAGAAGAGAAGAAGTTCTGGACAACTCAGCAGTCTGGTGCTGTCCTTGGTGCTGAATGTTAGGTTCTCTCCAAGTTTCGTACATTGCTAAGACCAGAAAATACTGGCAAATGGCAAATAACTGCAGTGGACAATAGTGAGTGCAGCAAAGATCAGTGTACTAAAAAATCCTTATTTACAGTGAGCATGCTTGTCACAAGGGTACAAAGGGGTTCCTACTGGGAAAAAAGTGGGGACCAGAGCTTTTCACAATGTATACTTTTCGTTTGTTTTTTGTACTTGGTTGGAATTTTTTCATTAGATTTGTCTATTACTGAACTTCAATATGAGAACCAAAAGAGTGACTGTATTATTTGGTCACATTACTATTAACCAAATACTCAGTGTACTGGGCACTGTGACAGGCATAGGATTATAAACCCATATAAGGTATAACTCCTCAAAACAAAAGGAAAGAGAGCTTTATGAAGATAGCAATTAACTTTCAAGATGGAAAACTTAGTAATTTTTTTTTAACATTCTTCCTCTGCAGCTTTTACATCAATAATCTAAGCTCTCTCTTCTCTAAACTTAAAATCGCACAAGATCTCTAGCCCTCCTGTCACTGGAGAAGCATCTGCTCCAGCAGTCCAAGGAGTCTGGATTGCTTCTCTTCACAGCAATGGTGATCTAGAAAGATAATCATTTCAAGTATTGGTTTTATGACTTGCTTCCAAGTGAGAAGGAAAAATTAGGGAAATTCCATAACAGCACTTTGTGTTCCCTGTCCTATAGAAAGAATTTATCTGTTTCATCTATATTTAGAGAACACATTCATTTAGATGATGTAACACAATTATTAATGTGACCATAAAATTATCAGTGAAGCCAAACCCTACAGCTTGAAAGCTCCAAGACAATTAGATGGATTATCAAAGCAATAAGCACAATGGATTACATAGTTTAAGCCCTCTACTGAAAACACCCTCATGCTTAATAAAATTTTTGCAGGCATACCTTGATTGACATTAGCTGCTGGAGGTAGCCTATGACTTAACTGCATGATACAAGGGCAACACTTTAAATTTTATCCACAAATTAATTTCTCATTGACCTCTACTTCTATAAACTGCCTTTATGGACTCCAAACACTTGAATCCTTTCACCAAAATAAAGGTCCTTAAAAAAAAAAAAAAAAAAACCTTAGAAACATACTGAGGGGTCTCTAAGAAAAAGTTCATGGCAATGAGATCCTGAAAATACTTCTCAGACATGGTGGAAACAGGACTGACCACCTGTTTTTCTTCTAAATTAGCTAAAAAGCAATGACCACAAATATGTCTCCATATAAAGTAGGCATGATGACTCATTTGCTTCTTACAAGTAGACATCAGCCGAACCATACTATATCTCAGTGAATCAGGTTGTGTTGTAAATAAAAGAAGCAAGAGAAAAGAAACTAGATGAAAGTGATGTTGGAGGCATGGGTGAGAGTAAGTCAAGAAGTGTTTTCCACGTCACTGTTTCATCCAAAAATAAGAAAAAGTCTAGAATGGCTTTTCATTAAATTTAAAATAATGTCCACCAAAGTGTTTCCTATTTTACATGATCTGATCTCATCTCCTCCCCAACTCCTGTATGCAACGTGTGTTCTAGCCACACTGGCCTTTTTCTTCCTGTCATGCAAACATGCCAACATCATTCCCACTGTAGGACGTTCACATGTGACAGTCCCCCTGCTTGCACCACTCAACCCTGGATCTTCAGATGACTCATTTCTTTTTCTTATTATCATCGAGGTCCCACTTCAGAATCTGTGTCCTCAGTGTGCTAGCTAAAGCCACCTCTTCACAACCTTTCCTTAACACGCGTCATCAGAACTCAGCCATGCATCCATCTATCCATCCATGCATCCATCCATCCATGTGTTTATGTATTCCTTGCCTGCCTCTGCCACTCTACCGCAAGCTCTGTGAGGACGAGGACTCTGTCTTATCCAAAAATGTCTCCTCGGTAGCCAAATAATGCCCAACATTTAACAGGCACTTAATAACTATTTGCTTACTGACTGTAACAGTGTAAAACAGGTGTGTGCTTTTTAGAAGGGGATAAGAATAGAGTCTTTTCAGAAAATGCTTTTAAAAAGCAATTTCTAACTGAAAAATGCCAACGTCCTGGAAGAGAGCCCTCTAGTGCATTTCTGGTACCTGAAGCCCTTGTCCTATCGTTGCTGGATTCATTGACTATCCCAAGCTGCCAATTACACATACTGCAGAATACCAGTCCCAAGGTGGAAGGAAGGCATCACAGAGAATCAGAAGCCTGGGGTCTAATAATGAGATCCTGGATGCAAAATGTTATCGTATGCTCCTCTTTAAAATGAGGATACCATAATTAATTTGAGGGCTCAAGGATCTAATGTGAGACACTTGGAACTCTACGATATTGGACAAGTAAGGGGTGTTGGTGTTGATGAGGCTTGATCGAGATTTTACCTAGGGTCTAAGACTGGAAGGTTCGACAAGCTTGGAATTCATATTTCCTCAGAACCCAGAAAGAGTGCCCCTCAGATAAGGGCTAAGAAATGTCCCTGATTTTGCCTGCTTTCTTTTAAAAGCCTCACCTTTGGAATGTGACTAACTCCTATAAACAGCCGCCTGGTTGGTGGTTAGCACAAGCTCATGCAACACAAAAGGAGAACAGTACCTCATCTGCAACCCAACCTAAGAGTGTGCAACACATTCCACACCAGCATGTCACTGCTAGGACATGGGCTCAAGTGTTGTGCATAATACCATACAAAATGACCTCGATCAGAAATGAGCTTAGGGCAAGCTCTAGTAGAATATGCCAAATGGAGAAAGTCCCTTTATATATACATCAGGCATGGAAGAATGGAGAAAGTCCATGTCATGACACAGAGGAACCCTGGAATGGGTCTGACCGATCTGGAGCCAGGTGGGAAGGTTCATAGGGATGTACTTTTCGGGTCTATCAACAAGAGGAAAAGTCTAAGTAAGAAAGTGGCCATGTCCGATGAATAAAAAGGGGAGGTTGTGATGCACGGGCTCTTGACTATTCCTCTCTACTGACTAAGCTGAGGGGAGAGTAGAACACCAAACGTGCATACCCAAAGGAGCCCAATACAGAAAGTGATGGTGGACAAAGGTCAACACACATGCTGCCACACTACGATTCCAGGCCGGGCGCAAATACACTGGGGTCACAGGCAATGATCAGCAGCACTTTAGGGCAGAATATGGTCACCTGATTAATAGGTAAAATACACAGAATTCAAAGGGCAAGTCCCGAGTTTACCAAAGCTCACTGAGACAACATGACATTGAGTAGGAAATCTTTTTGTCAAATCTTTATGTAACACAAAATATAATGAGGAAAACAATAGTTATTTTCAATTCAAAATCCACAATGCATACAAGGGTTTACACAGTGAAGGTGATAAAAATATTGACTATCGATGTTGACGGGAAACCTTCTGTGCACACTATTACTACGTTGAGTGATTATATAAATATAAGTTTACCCCCTAAGTGTACATAAACCAATTTAGATGGAAGCTTTTCTTCTGCCACAAATTTAACAGACTGTGGTTATCATGTTTACCCCTGGGTACAAAGGAATATTTGGAAAAACTACACCTGGCTGTATCAGAGATACCAGAGCAGAAAGGTCAGCTGAAGTCGTTAGAAGAAAACCATGAGCATGAAAGCACCCTTAATGCTAATTTCTTGAGGCGACCAGGCCAAGAAATAGTCAAGGCCTGGTCAAAAAAACCCTGCTTATCGACCTTTTATTCGACCTTCCACAGTAGTCTCCAAAAAATACTCTAAGGTTGTTTTTTTTTTTTTAAAGAGGAAGAGAGTTACCAACCTTGTCACCCCCCCCCCACCATAAAAACAAAACTGTGTGGCCTCATAGGGCTGACAGAATAGGCAGAAAAGGTCAGTGGATGGCATGACAGCAACACTAGGAGAACTCTTCCACAAAGCTGAGCAAATTGTTTTCTCTCTAGAGCCAGAGAAGAAATATTCTGGAATCTGGAAACCAAGAAGCAAAATGGAAGATACTTAAGAAAAAATGTTCACTATTTTTTTTTCTCTCAAAATCTTTATGCACACTGTAATTTAAATGTCATTAATTTACACAGTTTCCAAATATTATTATTCTTTCTCCCCTTTTTTCCCAACCATTTAAAATATAAAACCCATTCTTAGATTGCTGGACAAAATCAGACCAGGAATGGGAGTCAGCCCGGGAACTGTAGTTTGCAGACTTGTACTCCAGCAAGCCAAGAGGTTGTGGGGCAGAGTTAAGCCACAGAGTCAGCATATCTGGCATTGCATTTCCCTCCGTGTTTCTTTAAAATACCATAAACCTAAAGCTGCACTGAAATATCCCCAATTCCCTTTTAGCAAAATCAGATTATCTACTTCATCCAGTAGCTTATGTTCACATTCTGGATTTATTTTAACTATCATCTTAGCTGTGGACATTGCATTGGTTTTGTATGATAAATGCAGACAGGAGCCAAATGGGAAACACACAAGAATCAGTTTGCATTACCATGGCAAGCAATGGCATTGGGAAAGCATCTGATGTGAGGTGTCTGCTCTGTAATAGCCAGCAACCACCAGCCACCACTTGTAATGCTCTCCTGTTCTTATCTTGTAGGCTTTCATATCGGACTGGGCAAGACACAGCTAATTGTGACACATGCAGGAACAGTGCATGTATTATCTATAGGTATGTTAACCTCCTCCTCCCACTTTTCTATTATGAGTGACAAATGATGTTTACCCACGAATGCAAAATCATCGGGGGCCATGCTGGGATGATTATATCAGACACAAAGTAAAGGGCCTTAGTTGACCATAATTCTAAGTTCCTTCTAAATACTCAACCCCAGGTGTATGATCCCAGGATGAGAGAGAGCTTGAACTCATTTATCTTGCAAATGCATCTTAGTGTTTTCAAAAACTGGAATAAGTTTGATGGCTTGCTCCCTCAGAATCGCTAGCGATGAGCACTGTAACGTGTGTTCGGGAAAAGCTCTGAAAGCTAAGCCCTTCAGATGGTATAGAATCAAAGATGGCAAACCACACTCGATGTGCTAGCAATACCACAGGAGAACCCAGGCTGCTTGCACCAAATATGAAACTTATACAAAGACTGTGGCACGGGCATCCCTTGGGACATAATCCCCTGTCTAGAATCCGTACCGCTGTTCATGTTTTTTTTCATTTAAAGTTTGTTTAGATTATTCACATCAACAAGAATACAGCAGAAACTTTCAATAGGGAAAAACCATGTTAGGCTTCTCTCGGAATGTAGAGTTTTCAGACATGGTCACAACCTGCAGGGAGGTTACTGTCTGTTTTCTTTTCGGAAATGTAATTTTCACAAACAAGATATGAGAGCAGTAAGAGATGTTATTATGATTTAGTTCATTGTTGAAACTTAAGCCTGAAGGACAATTTTAGCGGACTTGCCAAATTATCCAAAACTATTCTCACTGCATAGTCATATATCTAGACGTGTGTACAAGAACTTCCATCTCCTCCTGTCCCCCACGAATATACCTTCTCAAAAGATCTTCAAAGTCACCACCCTCTCATCAAAAAGGTGGAGACAGGAAGATCGTGTAAATGTCTTCAATGTAGCAAAAAGCTTAAGGCCACACCTTGGGCCCATCACACATCTCCAGCCTAGGCAGAACATCCCACATGGGACTCAGACTCTTTAAAAGCAGAGTTGGGTCACTTGGTGACCCTCTCTGGGGCCAGGCAGAAGAACCCAAAGGCAGACATGAGCACCAGGTGTCACCCTAGCACATTCCTACTGCAGAAGTCCACAAAGGCCAATTTTGCCTCCTAGGGGACATCTGGCAAGGTCTGGAGGGAGATGTTTTCAGCTGTCACAACGAGGGAGGTGCCATGGGCATTGAGTAGGTAGAGGCCAGGGATGCTGCCAACATCCTATAAAGCAGAGGACAGCCCTGCAGCAAGAATTCATCGAGGCTGACAAAGCCTGCCCGGCTGGAACCATCCCCAAGTTAAGGACTGTAAAAGGCACACACCAGCTGCTAAGGCCTCCTGGCAGTACGCAGGGGGCCTGGACCCCACAGCAGCCCTGGGTCAGCATGCCAAGCCGCCTGATTGTCCTCCCACTTCCAATAAAGAAAAGGTGAAAAGCAAGCACCCAGGCAAATTTTGTCAGAACTCCCACAAATTGCAAATTACCTCCTCAGAGACAGCTCCCTATCAGAGAAGTTTGGTTAGAGGGAATATTTTCACTACATTCATGTTGTGGAAGAGAATTTAGAGTCATCAGTGAAGGGATGTAACTCTGACATAAAGTAGCCTTCGCTAATATTAGTCATTAGGAAAAGAAGTGGGGAATGTAAAGTGCCTGGCATCTACCCTCACCGTTTAGCTTTTGTTACTTTGGGAGCTGCGGCTCACCCAGTCTTTTAAGGCAACAGAGCAGAAGTGAGCAGAGATCTTCAGAGAAGGCTCAGAGTGAGCTTGATGAGCACAAACCCATTTAACATTTTGTGGGTGACTGAAAAAAAAATTTATTAGGGCACTCTCCAGTGTAACTGAAGTAATTTAAGTAAATTTAGCTCTAAATCCAGAAGTAACTTACATTAAAAGTGATGTTAAAAGTGATTTAACAAGCCCGTGAAGGACAGAAATTTGTCTTTTTCAGGAATTAGCGTTGAGTGCTTGCTATTTAGAATTGGCTCAACCAACATTCTGCATGAATCCCAATACGCCAGCTACTGGCCCACCTTCTGAAAGAACTGTGTCTCAGAACCACAGGAAATTGCCAAAACTGAGCAAAGGCTGACCAGTGAGACGGAATGGGCCACTGAGATCACTCTGGTTGCCTCCTACAAAATGGGGGGAGATGCACATCCACTCACAGAGACCTTGTCGTCAGAGAGGCGACCCCAGGGATCGCTGTGTGCCGGCGTGCATCCTCAAGAGCTGCATGTCAGGACCCTCCAGAGCCAGGCACTCCGCCCAGCAGCCCTCCCTCTAAATGAGCCAAGCATCCCGGGAGAGGTGGTGCTAGAAAAACTGGAATGTTAGATCTCTTTTTCGGGAAAGTATTTTAAACTCTCTCCCTTCGGAGGGACGGCAACACCAATTCCCCAACCCCCAAACCTGTGCGGCAGACATAAGTTATCCTAGAAGGGCTTACGAGCAACATTTCAGCCGGACTCCCACTGCCTCTAGACTTCGAGTTGTTAAGAAGGATCTCGGTATCACTACCTAGTTGAACACACACAGCGCATCAGGCTCTGGTCCCAATTCTCCTGTCACTTTACGTTAGAAATCATGAAAATTTAACTGTTACTACCTTGCAGAAGGTTACAGGTCAACAATAAAATGTAACACTCTGTACCCTGGTTATTGACACTGGACCAGGGTTTTCTGAGCTCCTCCGCAGATGCTAAGACAGGTGAAAGCTCACGTCTAGTCAGCTAACTAAAACACCAGTCCAAAAGGAACTCATACAATTAACCTGTTAACTGAATCTGAATCACAGAAATTGAGATCTTCCATGTAGCTGATTTAAAGTTATGCCAGGCTTTTGAGGGGCAGCCCTGATGTTTTCTGTGAATGTGGGCACCATGCTCAAGTTCCAAGTGATTTTCCATGAACCGCCTTGTGAGGGAATCTGAGTTCAGAACACAGTTCTAGATCCTGATTTGCCTCTACCTTTTTCACACCTGATATCTGGTCACACCCTACTCTGTCCAAAGCCTGTAACTCACAGAAGGAATTCTCTCTTGCCTGAGTTCTATTACGTTGGTTTAAGCAGCATTCAAAAAAATCACATTATTTCAATGATGGGTACAAATGGCATAAACAGATCCCAGTACATCCTCTTAGGGAGTATACAGCTGCAGAATAAGGACAGAGGGTTGTGGGTCAGCCACAGAGAAACTTGTTCACCAGGAGCAATGGCCTGTGTGGGCATCGGTTACGTCATGGGGGAAGCACATGGTGGCTAACCCAGGACAGCCAGTAAGGGGGCTCCCGTCATACTGTCTGAATACCAAAGACTAACAGAACAGGACGAAAGGATACTGGTCTGATTCTTGGAAGACTTGCATCTCTCTGAGTCTGCCTGCATGGCTGGCCATTGTTGACACACCTAGATCCGTAACTTACCCCATGTCAGGGTTCCCTTTCGTCAAAAGAGAAAGGGCAGCAGGGGGAATTCAGCCAGGTGATTTCTCAGTTTCCAGTCAGCCCTAGGATTTAATCCTCAAATGCCAAATGCTCCACGAAGAATAGAGGTTTCTTTGGTAGAAAAGCATTCAGAACTCATTAGGCCTTTTGCAGGAGAAATCACCTGTTTGGGGGACCTGCAGCAGTGTATGTGGGCAGCCCCAGCATCTCAGAAGCAAGCCAAAGGAAGTGTCCAGATTTCAGAGGCTTTATGACTTAGGTCCATTTCTTCTCACCGAGGAAACACGCAAGCAAGTCCTCCTTTAATTCCCGCACACAGCTCTACAGAGGGAGGGTCCCGTCACCAAGGGCAAGTTAGCTCAAGGTCATGATCCTTGTAGTTGGTTCCAAGGGTGGCTCTGGCACCCACACTCTCAGATACCAGAGGCTGTGTCCTAGACTTCAGGACTGTTCCTAGGAGTCCCCATACCACCATTTCAGCCACTGTTCTTGGTCTTTCCCATGGGATGCCTCGAGTACCTCGAGACTGAACAGGTTAAAGGAGTTTCAAAATCAAGAAATTTTTAAATCCCAAAACACTGTGGGCATCCCAGAAACTGGGAGCATACAAGGGGCCATCACAGCCGCCATATCGACGTGTTGCAATTCGTCATACCTGTTCGCTGGCAGGCAGAGATCCCCTGAGGTCAATGAATTTGACCCCACCTATCTTGCATGTACACACTGCTTCTCACTCCAAACCCAATTACCCTCTCTGAGCAGCGTAAGAATCCACTGTATTCTAGTAACACTTGGCCCAGGGAGATGCAAAGGTGCCCTGTTCAAGACCCGGCTGCCTGCAGTTTTATCAGCACGGTCCTGTGATAAATGTGTACCTTTACCACAGGCGGCAGTACCTATTTCTCTGTAAAATATAAGTCTGTTGTGGAAATACGCAGGACTTGGAAGTAACATCAAAAGGACAAAAGGTCTTGAAGCAATTTCAGGGAAAAAGGCTGCCAGTACCACAAGCCAGAGGTTGGCAACATCAGCCTGCCAGAGCCAGGCGCCCCAGAGGTTGGGGCCGTACCCCCACTCTCTCTCTTTGGCGGGGTGTCCACTAAATCTCTAACGTCACGTGGGGCAACAAGAAGGGATCAGATAGGGCCCTTCCAGCTCTGAAAGCTTGTTGACTCTGATTTACAAGTGATTTACTGCAGGAGCGAGTCTGAGCATCCACAGAAAGTAGACACGGAGGGAAAAGTGAGGACAGGCACAAGGCATTTCTCAACCAAGTACCATCCATTCCTGCATCGGCAAATCGATTTATGCAGAGCCGAACGACTGTTCCTGGGCAGCGAATTGATTGCCCTGCTCCCTCGTCCACTGAAACCACAAACATCAAAATTATAATATTTCCCATAACTGGGCATTCTGAGGTGGTTGACATGATTACATTTTTTCCTAAGATGACCTCCCTTGGATTGTGATCTGGACCAATCGTGAAATTCTAATTAAAGACCATCTCAGCATGAAAAAAGATTAAAAGAGATACAAGTT